GTTAAACATGGAGTTACCCTGACAACCAGCAATTCCACTCCCAGGTATATACCCAACATAAATGAAAACATATGTTCACACAAAAACTTGTACATGAATGTTCATAGCAGCAGTATCCATAGCAGCCAAAAGGTGGAAACAATCCACATGTCTATCAACTGATGAACAAATAAACAAAATGCGGTATATCCATACAATGGAATATTGTTCAGCCACAAAAGCCATGAAGTACTGATTCATGCTATAACATGGATGAACTTTGACAACATTACGCTAAGTGAAAGAAGTCAGCACAAAAGACCACATAGCATATGAAGGTATTTATATGAAAAGTGCAGAATAGGCAAATCCACAAAGACAGAAAGTGGTTGCTAGAGTATCAGGGGAGGTGGAAATGGGGAGTGACTGTTAATGGATATGGGGTTTCTTTTTGGGGTGATGAAAAAGCCTAAAATTAGATAGTGGTGATGATTGCTCAGCTCTGTGAGTATACTAAAAACTGATCTGTGCACTTTAAAAGGGCGAAATGTATGGTGCATAAATTATATGTCAATAAAACTTTTATTTAGAAAATTACATAAAGTCACACCATCTTTTTTTAGTTCTTCCCTAAGATTAGATTTCAAAAATTACATAGATACAAAGAAACAAAATACCACATTTTTTAAAAATGTAATACTAAACATCACTAAGAAAACGCTAGTTGGAAATCAGTCAAGGCTCTGGTAAAATGCCATACCTTGCCACACTGCTTGTAGGAAATTCCCTTTTGCTGACAGTATTCATAGAGAAGGGCTGCACCTTGTACACATAATTTGGCTTTCAGAGACTCAGGTTTATAATAAATTCCACTATGTATGACACCACTGTTATGTCCAGTCTGGTGAACAGCTACAGAACAAGACAAACAGGGTATAAGAGTAAGTACATGATTCATACAAAACATAAGAGGTAAGAGAACAAACTAATAGTTGAAGCTATTAGAGACCACATCATGTAAAATTCTGCCTGAATTCGTTCAGATAACTGGTAGCTTCTTCTCACAGTCATCCCTGGTATCCATGTCGCATCCCTCCAGTCCGTCTCTTGACTTCAACTACAACTTTGGTGCACAAACTTACCTCTCATTACCAGCACACCACTTCAGGGGCCCACTACGTCTCTTTGCACTCTGCCTTGGGGCCTCTGCTAACTTTTTTAGAGAAAGGCACAGGGTGCTCAACATCACCAGCAGCAATCCTCAACCAATAGGGACAGGAGCTGACGGATACGTGAGCACAATCCTGGGAGACATTATACTGCTCCTCAGAGGTTCCGGTGGAATCGAGCTCACCACAGCAATCTTGATGTGTTCTCATGTCTTTTCCTCCCTCCCTGTCTTACTTTCCTCACCCCCTCACTCCTGTTTCCTCAGATAACATCTCAAATAAATAACCTATAAACATGTTCTCTTTGTCCCACACCGCGCTTTAACCTCTCAAATAAATAACCTATAGCCATGTCCTTGTCCCACACTCTGCTTTTAGAACACAAACTAAGATACTAACATTGACATTCAGCATGAAGGATTCAGAACAGACAAAATAAGCAGATGCCCAAGTAAGCCCAAAGAACAACTTTGATTATATACATACCTAAATCTTTCTCCTTTTCCAGAACACCAATAGAAAGTGATGGATGTCGCAGGATGAGTGCTCTGGCAGAGGCAAGCCCCACAATTCCGCCACCAACAATGACTATATCAAACGAGCTTCAAAAGAAAGTCATCTTTAAAGTAATGCATATTTACAGTAGACCTCACCAAACTTCACATGCATAATTTTCATCATCAATGGACAATTAAACTATTAATTTGTAATCATTAAAATGTACTGGGCAGCCGGGAGTGGTGGCTCATGCCTGTAATCCCAGCATTTTGGGAGGCCAAGGCGGGCGGATCACGAGGTCAAGAGATCGAGACCATCCTGGCCAACATGGTGAAACCCCAACTTTACTAAAAATACAAAAATTAGCTGGGCGTGGTGGTGCACGCCTGTAGTCCCAGTTACTTGGGAGGCTGAGGCAGGAGAATCACTTGAACCTGGGAAGCGGAGGGTGTAGTGAGCCGAGATTGCACCACTGCACTCCAGCCTGGTGA